ACACACCTTTCTACCCTTCACTGGACTTTTGCTTTGCCAGAGAGTGGATTAAACACCCTGGGTGCTGGGAGCAGGTGGGAGGAGGGATGGCCGCGTTGTCTCAACCCCCATTTGGCTTGTGGGCCCATCTGCCCTTCCCCAGGGGCTGTAATGTGAGACTCTGCCCCCCTTGCTCTTAACCCCTTAGAGCCACTGGTCACGGTGACAGCTTTGGGATTCAGTGTTAACATCTGAATGGGCCTGGGGAGAGGACCCCGCCTTGTCCTAATAGCAGCTGGTCTTGATTAGAGGGTGTCTGCCCCTCTTGCACAGCTGCGCCGTGGACCCACACAAGGCTCCCTGCTCCCCCAAGGACTAGCGAGGGCTGGGATTAGGGGCTGGTTTATGGGCTGCCTTGTCTGACGGGCTCCTGTTCCCCCTCCTCACAGTCCTACCAGCAGTTCAGTCTTACCATCGCAGTGGTGGCCACCATGCTGCTGCAGAAGGAGCCCTCCATGGAGGCCGCGATGGGCTCGGCACTGCGTGCCAACCTGCAGCAGGTCAGGGGCCGTTACCTGCAGGAGCTGGAGAACTTCATTGACAGCTACGACTCAGCCGCCACCAGCTCATGAGACACCGCACAGCTGGAGACACTTGTCCTTGGCTCTGGACCAGGTCAAGGGAGCGGTGCCTGCTGGAGGCTGAGGCCAGCCAGATGCTTATGTTGGCAGCAATGGAGGGACCTGCTGGGATTGTATGAGCAGCCAGGTGGCACAGACTGAGGGAGAAGGGCTCAGGGGCCTCATTATTGCTCTGTATTGGGCAGTGGGGTCTGGTCCTGAAATGGGAAAGGAACTGCTGGCTGGGGGGTGACCGCTCTGAGAAGCTGCAGCCATGGGGTTGAAGGGCATGGGAAGGAACTGGGGCAGGAGCACTGTTGGTGCAGGGTTGTCTTGGAAGCAAATTCCTGGACTCCCGGCAGTTTTTCCCAGCCTGGGGCTGGGTTGCAGCCTCGTGGCTTTACTTGGGTTCTGGGCAGGGAACCCTACGCGGGGCCTGGCAGCTGGCCTGGGGCTTGTGCAGTTTTGTTAGCGGAGAAAAATAAAACAGCGGGTGAAATTCCCCGTCCCCACGCCTGTCCTGCTAGCATTACTGCCCCTCCCTGAGTGCGAGGGGCTGTTCTCCACTGTCTGGTGAAGCCTGCACGGCAGCCGCTGAGAGCGGGTTGTGACCGGGAGGCTGCTAAGGGCTCTCTTGAAAACTGGCTTCAGCGGATGCTGGAGCCCCCTGAACACAGGGCTGTCGACCGCCTTGCCCTCAGCCCTGGGCAGCTGCGTGGAGGCACAGCCAGCATCTTCCTCTGCTCCTTGCTGTCCCAGGCTAGGGCAGGCTCCCGTCCACTGAGCTCTGCCTAACCCAGGACATTGTGCCACTGGCTTCAGCAGCAAGAACGTCTTACAGGGGCTATGGCTGCCTGCCCTGTCCGGCTATCCCACCTTGGGAGGCTCTTGCAGTCTCCCACCTGCAGCCAGCTGTCAGGTGAGGGCAGTGCCTGGCCTAGGTGGGGCCTGCTTCACTTACACATGCAGCGGTTGAGATCCACGTTGAGTTTTATTGATGGAGACAAGGCTTAGGAGCCTGTCTGTGTAACACTGAGACATTCCCCCAGCCTGCCCCAGTTAAGCCCCCTTGCACTGTGGGGTGGAAGGAGTCTCATCGCTTAGCTTGGAAGGGAGAGGGGGATGTTGTGAGATCCCAGGACCAGCGTCCGGTTGTCTGCATTCAAGGGGTCTTTGCTGCGGGCACACACTCTGCACCCGGAGTCAACAGCAGCGTTATGTGAGGAAGGGGCCTTGCCATCCCCACGCTCACCTATCTCTGGCAGGACTCAGCCAGGCTTTCTGGAGAGTCACCTCCCTCTAGGCACCTCAGGCTGGGTGCCCGGGTTGTGCCATCAGGGTCCTGCCCCCAGAGGGTCTGTGAGAACTCCAGTGCCGGGAGGCAGAGCCAAGGGGAAGCCAGGCACAGTCACTCTTCAGGTCTTAGCTGCGGTGGGGGAGCAGGGCCAAGGACTCTGAAAGGGCTATTGTCTTCCCAGCCTGATGCAAGCCAGTGAAGGCATTGGGCCCCCCAAGGGCTGGTCTGCCTACCTGCCCTTGCCCGGCTACTTTTACCTGTTCATCATCCTGTTACAGGCGCAATGGGGACAGCCCTGCAGAACAGCCGTTAGGAGCCTGCCAGTGAAAGGACCCCAGAGGCTTATCGCTATCTGTGCTTGGGCCGGTTCCAAACACACTTGTAAAATGCACTGAAAGCTTGGCACATGCCTGAAGCCCGAGTCTAGCACTGAGAGATCCAGACCAGCACATCTGTATCCCAGCCCTGGGTCTGTCCAGAGGACCCTGGAGGCTATTGTCACTGCTCTGCACTCTCCTCCCACCCAGGGACAACATGTGGGGCCAGGACACTAGGGTTGTGTCCCAAGTGCGCCTGTTGGGGTGTTCCTGGTCGATTCCCCTGTGCCCTGTGATCCCCGCTCTCTCCACTCCCCCTTTCCATGGTGCAGGAAACTGCTCCCTTGTGCTGAGCCTGGCCCGTGTTAGGAAATGCTGCAATGCTTGCTGCTTGCTCGCAGCTTGGCCGTCTTCCCAGCTGCCGGGCCAAGGTTGCTGTGCTCCCAGCTGGGGGTGGCAGGACGCCCCGTCCCAGGCTTGGGGATCGGCTCGCCGAAGAAGAAGCCCTCCTGCTCTGAGTCCGAGGAGGAGGAGCAGGTCGGGCACCGCGAGTCGTCCTCCTCCGCATCCCAGTGCCGCAGCGCTTGTTCAGGGGGCACAGGGCTCTGCGGGACAGTCACGCTGCAGTCTGCTGAGGGGCTGGCGCCCAGGTACAGGGCACTGATGTCTGCCTGGGGGTTTCCGGTGGGGACCAGTGAAGCTCCAAGCACGCTCTGATCCACTTCGCAGTTGGGGGGTGTTGATGACAGATCCTGCTCCGGGGAGACAGCAGCTGCCTGTCCAAAGGCACTAACAGAGGTAGCTCCCTTGCCACTCTCTCTGAGAAGGGCTCCCTGGTCATCCTGGCTCCTGAAGGCAGGGTGGATGCCGGTCTGGGCTGAAGGCTGCTCTGTCCCTGCAACAGGGAGAGTGGGAATTAAGTGAGAAGAGACAGGCCTGAGATGTGCACACCCCCACTCGAGCCAGCCTGTCAGCACAAGCTAATGGCCGGATGGTCTGAGCTGGAGCTGACATAGGCCCCCCAGTGACTGCTGCCAAGGACAGGATGGAGGGTGAACCGGCAGGTGGGAAACACTGCTAAAGAGAAATCCTGGTTCCTCACCCCTGCTTTGCCCCGCGCCATTGCAAGTTGATTGTGAACAACCGTACCGTCAGCTGCAGCCCCTGGTTTGCGGGCATCCCTGTCTGCAGCTGGGGTGGGCATGGGGCTGCTCCGGCTGCCGCTGCGGCTGGCTCTGGGGACAGGCGTGGAGTCGGGAGAGGGTGTGGAGAGGAAAGCCGAGTCGGAGGAGTCTGAGGCCGTGGAGGAGGACGAGGCGCGCTCCTTCTCCCGGCTGCAGGTCTCTGAGCAGTACGGGAGGCCGTGGCGGGACGTGAGCTGCTCTCCCAGTAGTGGCTTGCGGCAGAAGCTGCAGCAGAAGCAGGAGGGGCGGGCATGCCAGTGCTGGCCTTGGTGGGTGGCCTGCTCGCTGTCAGCACCTGAGGGACAAGGCCATGAGGAGCTGTCTCCTTCCCCACAGGAGCCCATGCACAGACCAGCTGCCTTTCCCAGGGCAGCCCCCTCTGCTACCCCCTCCCATTTAGCTCTAAGCCCCCACACAGCAGAGCTGAGCGGCCCTTTCAGCCTGCTCCGTGCCCCCTTCTCGATTTCCCGAGATCCCGGGATGTACCGATGAGCTCCCCGCAGGCCTGGCAGAGCTCGGCGTAGAGGCTCTCAAAGCAGCTGCAGCAGCAGGGTCTCCCGCTCTTCATGACGTAGCGCCGCCCGCCAAGAGGCAGGTCACACTCCAGGCAGCAGAAGTGCTCCACGTGCCAACGCCGGCCCTCCGCCTCGATGCATTTGGTTGCAAAGATCAGCTGTAGGGGAACAAGGCAGGTGGTGCTGAACCCCACAGACCTGAGCCCTCGAGGCAGTGGTATTCAGACCTCTGGGATCTTAACCTTCCTCTAAAGCATTGTGGACAGGAACAGGGCATAGGACCAGCCAGACCTAGGCCTGATATAACGTGAGACACAGTTAGCCATGTTAGTTAAAGACAGGGTAGATTTGCATCTTATAGGCTAACCAAGTGGATACATGCGTGTATACATATGTACACACACTGTGTGTGTGTGTGTGTGTGTGTGTGTGTATGTATGTGTGTATACACACACACACACGAATATATATGTGCGTGCATGTTTGTGTATGTATCTGCTTGGTTTAGTCTATAAGGTGCAAATCTACCCTCTTCTTTAAATATGTGTGTGTGTGTCTGTGTGTGTGCACGCACATGCACATATGTATATGTGTATATATATATATAGATATATGTATACATGTGTGTATATATATAATACAGCACAAGTTTTCATGAGCTGTAGCTCACTTCATTAGTTGCAGCCTTTGGGTGCCCACGACTCCACACCCGTGCCTGTGTAACGTCTTGCCTGCTTACCTGATCACATGAGGCGCAGCGTGGCCTGAAGAGCTCCGCATGGTGCCGGCCGCAGTAGATGCTCCCATCCTGGTGGAAGTAGATGAAGTCCACAAGGGGCTGGTGGCAGGAGTGGCAGACGAAGCAGAAGGGATGCCAGCAGCAGTGATCCCCCAGCCGGGAGGCAAACACCCCCGGGTCACCTTTGTTCATCCTCTTGCCGCACTGTAAGGCAAATGGATGTAGTCATTCAAGCTGCTTCGTGGGACCCAAGGCCTGGGAGAAGGGGCATTGCTGCAGCGGCTGATGGATTCCAGCTGCTGGGGGCACAGGAGGTGGGAGCAGGCCTGGGAGAGAGGTCTTACCTTCTTGCAGAGACACTCATGGCTGGTGGGTGGCACAGGGCACACAGATCCTTGCCCCAGGGCTTCCTGCCTACGTTGCGTGCTGAATGCTTCCAGTTGTTGCCTCTCCTCCTCCCCGAGGCCAGGGCAGTACCTCTCCTGTAGAGGAACCAGAAGGGGCCCAGGAGGTTGATAAGCTTCTCCATCACCCCTGCAGACCTGTGCTCCGAAGTGGACACTGCCTTGGTGAGTAAAGCATCCCAGAACGGGTGCAAGTGCAAGAAGTTTGTCTGGAGGGTCACAGCCTTGGCCACCTTGGGCACATGTCCACAGGGCAGAATCTGTCATCAGAGCCAGGAGGCTTCAAGCCAGGAATGAGACAATGGCTGAACCTGGGGAGTGGGGACCTGGGGTAGCAGCAGGGCTGGAAAAGTAGGATTGAGGAGCTGTCCTGGCATGCCCAGGCTGAAATGGCCACATGCCCCACAGCAATGTTGAGATGCTGGAAAGGATCTGTGGGGAGGGGGCTGGGGCTGGAATAGCAGAGGGTACCAAGCCAGGGTGGTATGAGAGAGCGAGATGGCTGCAGGAGGCAGGGAAAGTGCAGAGTCCCGATGGAAGTCTGCTGCCAAGCTTACATCACAGTCCTGAGGGGGCAGCTGCTGCAGCAGGGCTTTGATCCGGTGCTGGTTCACAACGGCAGCAGGGACACTCTTGGCTGAATGAGAGTCCAAGCACAGGGATGCCTGGAAAGTCAAACAGGAGAGAGATGCTGAGGGACTGTAGCTCAAGCTACATTGCCCCAGTACCCCCTTGTTCACCTTGGGGAAATGGAGAGGCAGATCTGTGCATAGAAGTGAGATGGGCCCCAAGTGAAGAAAGTGGGATGGTCTCAACCTGGAGCCCGGGGCTATTTGTGTCTCCACCCTGGGCAGCCTAAACGCATGGGCAGGGCTGCATGAGAGGTACTGGCAGAGCGCTCTCAGCTTCTAGCTCCTACCCATCTGTGCAACCAGCTACGTGCACCTGCATCTCCCACTTGATCTCTGGTGCCTGGCCAAGGAAGCCAGTTGAGCAACAGCAATCATGAAGAGGCATAACTGGAGCCATTTTCAGCCACTGCCTCCTTTGCTCTCCCAGACACTGTGCTGAGCCCATGGCAGAAGGGCTGCCAGGAAGAGAATGAGTGTCGCAGCAGCGGCAGAGCTGTTTGTGGGGTCACCGGCCCGAGGCCTCCAGTGCGTGGCCCCAGGCTGTGGCAGCAGTGCTGACGGCCTCCCAGCTGGGGATGGCTGTGAGCGGTCCAGAAAAGAGACAGGTTTGCTCTGAGCTGCATGCAAGAAAAGGGGGCCCAGCAACCACACGCAGCAGCCTGTGCTCAAATGCTGGGGGTGAGTCCCAGCCAAATGAAGCCAGCCTCCAAGAATCGAATCAAAGGAGAACGGACTGCTATTGGGCATTGGTGGAAGGGCTCTTGCCTACCTCTGTTGGGGCAGAGTCTGCTGCGGGCTCCAGGTACTCTTCCAAGGCACAGCCAGAGTCACTGTCCGAGGAGGAGGTGGGAGGGAGACCAGCTTGTGTCCCACTGCAAGGCGGCACGTCTCTCTGGGGCCATGCAGGGCTCGGCAGGGACATGAGTAGGAGGAGAGAGCTGATGAACTCTAGAGCAAGAAGGAAGAGGCCTGGTAATGAGAGAGAATATCTGGAGTGGCTGGTGGCTCTGCACAGAGGGGACTCAGGGCTACTGGAAGCATTGGCTATCTGAGTAGGTCTAAAGCCTTGGCGTGGTACCTCCCATGACTGTATGGAACAAGGGCTGATGGTGTCTTGGGTCTCAACCCACACACAACCGTTACTGCTCCAAGAGTCTCCGTTCAGTACAGATGTCATCTAGCGCTGGGTAGCATTTGAGAGCTGGTCTGGTGTCTCTGCCCACATAGATTCTATATAGAACCAATCTAATGCATGCCTAACTCTGTATGTCTGCTGCCACGTGGAACTGATAATGAAGCCTCTTGTATATACGTGTGGTATCCAGAGAAAACATGTGGATTCCCTCCAGTCTTTACTCTTAGGCTCACCCAGAGGCAGCTGAACTCGGTGGCAGGCAAATTGACTCCCAGCCATAGCAAGCCAAAACTGGCTGGAGAGTTTTGGTGAGAGGCTGTAAGGCAGGGCAGGTGTTTGGTTTATTGCAGGCAAGGGTGGGGGTTTGGTAACGGAAAGCAGAGACAAAAGCAAAATTCTCCTGGGAAACTGGAGAGACCTTGCAAAGCTATCTAGAGAGAACAGAAACGCTGGCTTTTATCTGGGGAAGCTGATGTTTCATCCGATGGCCCTGGAAGGGCGCATGTTGCTTTGCAAAGTGAGAGCTATTGGATTCTAGAGAGAGCAATGGCTGTTGCCTGTAAAGAGGAACCAGTGGCAGGCGGTCAAACGGAGCAGCCCCTCGAAGTGGGAAAGAGCCTGAACTGGTTTCCTCTGCCCACATGGACTGGATGCTGGCTCCATGACAAGCACAGGCCATGGACTCTGTCCCAAGCAGAGACTTCCCCAGGTGTTGACAGCCTGACGCTGGCACCGGTATCCCCATGATTTAGTGGCACATCACTCAGAGGAGCAGCAGGAGGTGGTTGAGGCTATTCCAGCTCAGTGGAAAATGGGTTGTTTTTTTTCTTTGAGCCATCACAGCTCTGGTATTAGCTATTGTTCCCTCCAGCCCAGCCTGCACATCTCTCAGCTAATGATTACACCGTGCAAAACAGCCCCATCCCCCCTGCCTCTGTTTCACTTCTCACTTCCTTCCTCGCTTTAGTTTCCAAAACAAAACTGAGAGGACAACTCAGTGGCTGGTTCGGCTCCTGTGGCTCCTTGGATGTCTTCCCAGCGCCGATGCTCTGCTGCTGGGTTTCCGGTCCTGGCACTCAGCGACAGAGAGGTTGAGGCCGAGGAAGCGGAGCAGGGGTGGGTGAGCAAAACCACAACTCACCAGGAGCTCTGTCCTCGTGACCAAGCCAAGGAATGAACATGCCCCATGACAAGGACTTTAGGGCGAGGGATTGGGACACTGCCCCTTGATCCACCTGGCCCGAAAGAAAGAGGCAAGAGCTGGACGTGCAGCACCTGCTGTGAGAGATCTCACCAGGTCAGCGTGCTCCTATGGCCACATGCAGAGCTGGGGTTTAAGGTGCTTTGATTGATGGATTCTCCATACGCTGCTATAGCGTAGGGCCACTTTGAACTTTTCCCTTCCCATAAGCGACACTAATTCTTAAGCTGTTGCTCCAAGGCCAGCAGGCTCTGTGCCCAAGCCAACAGGCTGCTTTGGAGTTGCAGGCCCTGTGCTATGTGCCCTGCTGCATGTGACAGTCCTGACACAGAGACCTCTGCCATATCCTTTCCGCAAGCTCCGCATGCACCAGTGCCCACTTCTGTGCACTGGGCAGGTGCTTTTATGCTGCCAGCCCCTGCCCTTGCCCACAAGCATGCCTCTCTGTGCTCCTGAGTCCTTTCTGAAGAGCAGCTTTGTCCTCTGAGAGGCCCCTCTGCTCAATAAGCTTCAGTCTCATCCTTTTAGCTCAGCTCTTGCCCCTCATCCCACTACACTCTTACTGGATCCCTGCATAACCTGCCCCTTTTTGAGGCATAGAAACAGTATGCAAGAGGCAGGATCAGTCTTATAAGTGTGGAAAATATATTGCGTTCCCACCCCTTCCAACTCTTTTCGGAGGAGCCTGCAATTCTAAGTGTTCCCATGCGGTGCCCTTGTCCACCTGTGCACGGGAGTCCAAGGAAGGGAGCACTGTGCAGAGAGCTCAAGGCGCTGTGGTCTTTGCAGTCAAACATCAGTGCTCCTTGGAATTTCCTTGGCCACCTCATGCTTCACTCAGGGCCTGAGAGACATCCCCTCCACTGTAATTAGCCCAGCGGCTCAGGTTTCCCTGTAGGCACCTGGGTCAATAATTAACTCAGCAGGTTGGCTGGTAAACAGGAGGAAAAATAAAAGGCCTGATTGCCTCTTTCCCAGTGCCCTGCTCTCAGGGAAGCAGCAGCAACCAGGTAGCAGGTCCATCATTCACAGTAGAGTAGGAAGGAGGGGAAGAGGCTTGTGGTTTTTGTCCAGAGGGATCACAAGATGGGACAGTTCTTGTGAGGGCCACGGAGACAACTGCATCTGACTGCCATGTGGATCCTGTGGCCAAATGGAGCTGCAGCTGGCTGTTTTGCAGATGACAGATTTAGTGTTGTTGCAAGAAAGAGCCCAGCCAGCACTTCTCAAGAGAAGCTAGGGGGGGTGGGTGGGGATTGTTTCAGGGAGCATTGCTCAGCCCCTGAGCTGGGCAGAAGATCTGGTTCTCTTCTGTCACTGACCTGCTTTATGACGTGGATCAAATCTCTCCCTTCCTCTGCTTCTGCTTGCCTGCCTACACAATGGGGGTGATTGGACTTCCTATTATCCTTCCCCCTTCCTTTTTGTCTTGTCTATGTAGACTACATCATGGTTCTTAGGGCAGGGACTTTGCTTCCCTGTATGTCAGTACAGTGCTTAGCATAATAAGGTCTGATGTTCATTAGGTCCTCTTGATGCCACAACGGTGCTAATCATTCAGGTGAGTTTCTGGAACAGGTTTTTTTTCCCCTGTGATCCCTGAACAGGGCCTGCCACACGGCAAACTCCCTGGGCATCATTCCTCTAGGAGCATCCTTGCTCGTGCAGCTTCTGCCTAGGGCCTGGGCTCACAACATCTCGCATCCCTGCAGTTCAACATGTGATCACAACCCGGTCCCCCGGGGACTGTCCTTACACCACAATTGTCCCCACTTGTGAGAGTCTGCTAGACAGACATCTAATTCTAGGGACCTCAGGATGGGACCTTGCACCAGAACAATAAGCATAGTTTAGGAGACACATGAAAGGGCAGCATTCCTGGCTAGTAGAAATCAATTAGATGAGGCTGGAGATTAATCTCACCCCTGGAGTCCTACCTGGTGTTTGCATATTATGCATCCAATCAATCAAGCTGGCTATCAGCTGGGCTGTGAACAACTCCTGTGATTAGCACCAGATGGGGTGACAGGAGCAAACAGGAGACCATGCTAATGAGCCAGACAGCGTCTACAGGTCTGTTTCCTTCTGTTCCTCTGCCCAGCTCTTTACCACCTTCCTCTCCCCAGGGCTCAGCCTTGCCTTTCCTTTCCTTCCCCATGTCCTAATCCCTTCCCAGCCATCCTCTCGTCTACCCCCGTTAATCACTGATCTGGGTGCTCAGCCACGTGGAAGAGATTTCACCTTTTCCAGTTGGCTCCTATGCTCTGGTAAGATCTTTGCTGGCAGGTTTGTTCCATTAGAAAGGGGTGAAAAATGGCTGGGGGAAGCTAAAGTAGCTAGGATGACTGAGGAGAACACTTCAGAGAGCTACTTGTCTTGCTGTGCCTGTCGCTAGGACTAGCATGTCTAGGGGCCCAGTCTGACCTGAAGTTCATAAACAGTATGACTACAAGGGCCCAGGGTGATCGCCCAATCTAACCAGCTATATAACAAGCCAGAGGACTTCCTCTCTCCCCTGCGAGTTTTAATTCCAGCCTAAACTCCTGCAGCTCTTTTAATTTAGAACAACATCCACTCTGGAATTACAAGTTTCTGGGTATGGAAAATCCCTCCCATAACCCTTGGAAAATTGCTCTGATGGCTAATTACCCTCAGTGTGACAAACCTGTGCCTTATTTTCTATTCTGGTTTTGTCTAGCTTCGGCTCCTAGCTTTTTTGATCTGGTTATGCCTTTATCTGCCACCCAGGCGAGCTTTCTCTGATCATTTCTTTCTCCGGGGAGGTGTTTCTAGACTGCAATCAAGCCATAAAGCTCAACAGATTGAGCTCTTTGAGTCTCTCACTCAAAGTCTCCTTTAATCAGTTTAGCAGCTCTTCCCAGGACTTAGAGATACTGTCATGGGACAGCATTCCAGTAGCAGCCGTGCCTGTGACACATGCATCATATATAATCATGTGCATGGGTGGGCCCAGCTTTACCCCTGAATGCTTCAACCATAAAATGGCCAGTCAGGCCTCCTGAGTTATATTCCTCGCTTGGATCTACAATATGATGCAGGGGAAAGCACTTCCTTGCTCTGAATTTCTCCATCTGTGAAATGGGGACAAGCAATAGTTACAGGGCCTTGTCAAGCACTTCGGGAGCCTGTAACGATGTGAGATATTACCACCTTGCTTTCCTCTATTAGCTCCCAGTTCCCTGGCTGGCAGTGGGGCATGTGTGAGTTTCCAGCTTTCTCATGCCAATGTCACATTAACTTTCAGTACACCCATCTCAACTCATTTGCATTCAGCAAGTCCTACTTGTTCCTCGGTTCCCAGTGCAAACTAATGAGAACCATTCTCAACCTCTTTCATGAGCCCTTTTTCTGTTTGCTACATCTTCGCTGACGCCTGCATTTCCAGAAGTGAGCATTCATTTTTGGATGCCCAGTTTGGGGCACATGGGGCCTGAATTCCAGAAGAGCTGAATATCAAGGAGGACAAGTTGCCAAGAGCTGTAGCTCAGCCCCTCCCTGGTGTGTCAGGCTGGGCACCCAAAATCAAAGGCTATTTTTGAATATGCAGATCTAGATTTAATACTTTTGTTCTCAGCAAGGACCCTGTCTGCTAAAGCCTTGGTATGGGGGGAGGATTGATTGTTCATATGCAGAGCAATCTCCAGATTTGTCTTTTCTGTAAGAGGATTTCTGGCAAAAGGATCCAGACTGGCAGCCCAGAAGCGCCCCCCTCCTTATCCACAGAACAGGACTGTGTGCAGACCATCGTCACATGCAGGGGCCACATTACCCCTCCCATTCTTGTGCCCAAATGAAAAGAGGTAGGTTTCTTTAAGCGCTCAGCACCTGACAGCTCTTATTGTGATTATAATGGCTGCATTTGCCCTAAACTTTGGAGTCTTTTTGGAAATCTTCCCCAGGATGTCTCTCCAGGGCTGCTTCTTGCAGGGGGAGAGACAGGGGAGCGTAGCCTCCATTGACCGGTTTGTCCTTGGCCTGTTCTGCCCCACTGAGAAATGGACTGGGACCCACTGAACTCCCTTCACACAAGCCACCCAGTGTCAGATGGCAACAACTCTACGTCCCTGCTCATCCGAGCTAGATTCAGACTAGTAACCCACGAGGGAATAGCTCTGTTTTACCAGTCCCCTGAGGCACTCTGCTGTTCTGCGCTAGTAGCGCTAGGTCCTCTTTGCCAGCTATGACGCTCTGCTGTGTGAACCCCTCTGCAGACGAGTTCCCATAATGGAGATTTTTTTTTTTTCAAAGAGCTTCTCCTGAACGCAGCCTGAAAAGTCCATCCACCTGTCTGCTCTCCAGCTCCCACGAATGGTTTTGTAACCAAGAACAGCAGAGATCTGGCAGTGATAGAGCAGACGCGGTCTCACGCTCCGAAGGGGCCTTTCTGAAGACGAGGGTGGGGGCATATATTCCTCCCCCCACACAATTTCATTGTTAAAGGGAGAAAGCTAGCAAAGAGAGGCCCCTCCCCAGGCTTCCCCTCCCCTGCCCCCATATGTTCAGTGCCTTCCCAAGCAGGGAGTGCCCATTTCTCTTCCACTCCCGTATTTTTTTTTTTTGGCCCCGGCATTTTATTTGATGCCAGACTGCCACTGCTCTCTTCGCTTTCACAGCCCTGAGTCTACTGCCCCTGAAGGAACAGGCCCCTACAAATCACCGCTCCGAGTACCTACCTGCCGCTGCCCACCGTGCCAGGGGCGCAGCTATGGGTGGGATCCCCGGAGAGCACAGATTTGCTTGAATTTACGAGACCCGGCTGCCACTTCCCGTCCCTGTCTTGTCCCAGCTCCCAGCCAGCCAGCAGCTTCTCCACCCCTCTCCACCTGCTTCCAGCGACTGGTCACAGGAAGAAGAATCACAGCCGAATGCTGGAAATTTTGTGCTGCAAAGCGAAAGGAAAACATCTGAGTTTGGGAGATGATTTTTTTTTTTTTTTAATCTGCCTGCCCAGGAAACTGGATCTGTGTCAGCCGAGCTTCTAATTACGGAGCTTTTTAGCTTAAACCTACAGAGCCAGCCAATGGCAGAGAATCAGAGCAGCAGGCAGGGAGGGAAATGAGCAATGGAGCTCAAGGGATATGTTAACCCTGCAAGGGAAAGAACTGTACACTATATCTGTTTTTTCTTACCACCTCCCATTCTACTATCATCCGCGTCTCCCTCTCCATATGTTGCTTCATTCCCTCTGTTCTCTTAATTCTCTTAGCTGTGACTGTTGTTCTTGTGTGTAGATTTGTACGCAGTTCTGAGATGTCTTGGCAAGGATGATTATAGGCCATTTTAGAGATGGGGACACTGAGGCACAGAGAAGGGGCACCGTCCTTAAAACTCACTTCTGCCGTGATGCCTGCAGAAACCGCAACAACGGTTGGGCAGATGGGCTGTGTCACTGCTAGTGATCAAGCTGTTCATAATAATTTCTCAGATGCCTTCTGCTCCTCTCCATCTGCTTATTATATCTGCCTCTTGTCTTACATCTGCCTACTCAGCTCTATGGGGCATGAGCTGTTGTCAAGGTACACATTTGTACAATACCTGACGGCAAAGCTAGGGCTTCTACTGCAATATGGGTAGGTGACGCAATGATGTCAGTTAAGTGACTTGACCAAATTCATATAGGAAGTTTGTGGCTAAGCTTAGAAGAAAACCTAGCATAAACTCTGTCTCACAGCCATACCGATTTATGTTCCATAGCATTTGTATCCTTGCATCCACCCGGGCATGGACAGACCTATACCTGTCTTGAGGTATTTTGTATATCTAAGTAAATTATACTGGGATCAGGGACGGACAGACGTATTGCTACACTGGGACAGGTCAAATAGTAAGCATTTATTGCTATGCCTCACCAATAAGCAGTGGGAATAAGCAATAGCCTGTTTGCCTTTGGCAAACAGCTACCTCAGATGAACACTGACAGTTATACCTCCCTGGTACAACTTACACTATAGTTGAGGGATAATGCTGCTTTCAGGGATACTTCTCCACTGGCTTGGGTGACATGACGCCAGTTTGGAGTTGGTATTTTTCCTCCGCTCCTTTTTTTAAGCTGACGCAATGCAAGCTACAGCAGTGTCAATGTTTCGTCTGCCCGTGCCCTGAGTCCCAAATGAATTTAAGAGGGGATGTATGAAAGTGTCTAGGTGTAGGGCACAGAAAAGGGCCCCTGTAAACCCACCCAAAGCAGCAAAAGGAGCCCCAAAGGCAGAAGTAATTCAGCGAGGAGGCCGTTCCAGAGGGAACTATTGTTTCTTGGGAACTCTCTCAACTTTGGCTCAGTGACAGTTAATCTGCTCTGTTTGGGTTTGGTGTGAAGTTAATCACAGCAGTGTTATCTTGCCTGCTCCTTGTTATGGACTTTGTACCATGGGGCCCCTGTCCTCTCTTTACCTCCTCTGTGAATTTGCAACACAAGCTGTAGTATTGCTGCTTCCTTTGTCACCTCCTGAGCCATTCACGCTCTCTCCTCATTTATGTCTATTCACACCGGAGAGGGAAACATCCTTTGAGCAAGGCCATCTGGGCTGGAGGGCTCAGTCGCAACACCTAACCAGACAGACCCAATCTGTTGTCTAAGCCCGTTACAGAAGCCATGCTAGAACGCTGAAAACCTATGAGGAGGGCCCGTGAGTCGTTGCAGTCCTAGCGCAAAGGGGACCTAAATTGCAACATAATCTTTAATCCAACAGATTGTTGTTGTTTGCATTTCAGTCGTGACAGGAGGCCCCGACTAGGATTGGGCCCCCATTGTGCTAGATGCTGCGCGCGCACAAAAAAGCCAGTGTTGTAGACAAGACAAAACAATAGGGATAAGCAAGGAAAGAATGTGTCAGCTGTACAGAACTAATGTCCTTGTCAAAAGACTGTGCCCAACTATTCCTGAAGGTGACTCTGAACTGTTCCAGCTGCACTGAGGATGCATTACGTCCTGTTAGGGATCCAGGTTGTCCTGGTGTTAGCCCTTCCTACAGGGTGCATTTCCTTGGCGAATCAATTCCTTTCTACACACAAGCAATTTCCATCCTTGTGGCACGTAGCAGTCTTGCACTGGTTCCCCACTGGAAGGAACCAATGTATTTTACCCAAGAGCCCTGTTCAAAGCCTGTTTAAAACATGCATCCACTTGATGTCAGGAGTTAGCCTTAAAACTCTCCTCTGCTACTCTGGTGACTTCAGGAGAGAATTTAACCCTGCAGCTTGGCTAGCACGGTCATAAAATATCCTAATTCACGATACACTAACACTTGGTGTTGGCATCGGACGAAGCGAGCTGTTGCTTATGCATCTCTGATTCGCTCAGTTTATAAGTGCAACTCTACCCCGTCTCCTGTCTGCTTCAGCCCTCACTGTTCATAATGGTCAGGGAAGCCCTGGTTAGCCCATGTTTAAACATGCATGTAGGGAGTATAATTACTGTTTGTATTACCGTTGACTCCAGGAGCCCTAGTCATGAATCAGGACTCTGGGCAGTCACATTAAGAGCAATGGTGAACCCCTGCTAAGAAGGTACAGGAACAAACAGCTTGTCGGGGGGGGGGAGTCAACAAGTGTGTGCTCACATTGCTGCTGTTGTTGAACCACTGGATGAACCCTACACAGGAGGTGGCTGGCTTGGGAGAGGGCAGCAATCCCTGGGGGTACTGTGTGCCTTCCTTCCCCCTTTCCCCGCCTATATTTGAGTACTGGTGGAAATTTCCCTTTGAGCGCAGAGCAGCTGCCGGCACTTAGCAGCGAGGCAGAGAACCAACACTCAGCGGATAATCGCCCCGCATGTTTCTACAGCAGCGGTTCTCAACCTTTTTAGGCTCAAGAACCCCCTCGTTAGACTCATGGCTGCCCTCAGAAAACGTCGGCTCTTTCGCTTCTTCTTTTGACGGCAGGAAAAACAGCACCTTCCCGAGGTCCAGAGAAGAGCTGTACGAGGACAGACCGGTCAGCTTAGAAAAGAGACGCTCGAAGGGGCACACGAGAAGGGCTTACAAAATGCTAAATGACAAGAGAAAGTCAACAGGGATTTATGGACGTTCCCTCACTACAAAAGAAACAAACTCTTCCCGTGTCTCCCAAGGCGTTATGATTGCTTATAGTTGGTCCGCTTGTAGGCTCAGAATCGTGGTTTGGGGCATTAGCTGGTGGCAGCAGGGGTGACGACGTGAACGCTTCTGCCGCCACACGGCCCCCGCTTCTGCCACAAAACGAGATGAGGAGGCAGTCTTTTGTACACGGCGCGTCGGTGACGGGCGCAACTCGTGGCCAGCGGTGGCGGAAGCTAAATGCAGCCACGTTGTAGCGGGAAAGGGGTCGCTACGGAGCCTCCGCCTCGCAACGGCCCAGGCTTCAGCACCCGCTGTCCGCCGCCTTTTAACGCAGGCCTGTTTGTTATGGCCCGGGGGGCCTCGCCTGGCCTACGACAGCCCTCCCTCGAGGAGGCCGCGGGGGACAGAGCTGACCCCCTGGGACAAATACAATAGGGTGAGCGTGGGGCTGCCGGGCAGGACAGGCGGACACCTGGTCCAATGGCAGCGCCAGGGGGCTCCCTCTGCAGCCAGCTGGGACAGGAAGTGAGGGGTCTGGGACAGGAAGTGAGGCATTTGGGACAGGAAGTGAGGGGTCTGAGACAGGAAGTGAGGCATTTGGGACAGGATGCGAGGGGTCTGAGACAGGAAGTAAGGGGTCTAGGTAAGTGAAGCGTTTGGCACAGGAAGTGAGGGGTCTGAGACTGGAAGTACGGCATTTGGGACAGGTGAGGTTGGGGGGGGGG